TAGCCATTCTGCTGGTCACCTCTCCTGCCGCTGCCCAGCAGGGAGGGGAACGCCAGCTTGGTGAGACCGACATGAACTACATCACGTACGTGAACTCGTGCGCAGACCTCCCGAACGAGCGGACCCCTGTCCAAGGCTTCGTAACCTTCATGGCCGCAATCGTATGCCCGTCGCCGAAGGTGTGTCCGTGTGTGTCCGGTTTGGATTTTCTAGGTACTGTTGTGTTCAGGTCTTGCGGCGTTACCAAGATGCTTCCGTTGCGGGGTATCAAATACTTGGCTGTAGCCTCCTGTCTATCAAGCGGGTCGTCGTCGGTCCAAAGGTACATGGTGATGTATACACTGTCGTTCTGTGTGTTATCGCTGTGTGCATGTCTTCCTACGTTATCGTTCTGCGTGTTTTCGTTGTGTGTATGTCTTCCTGCGGGGATAGAGTGTTTGTTACCATTGCATTCTAAGGACCTTGGACATGCAACCCAGTTGCCGAAAAGTGGAAAACACCACATTAGACCATTCCGTGCAACCAATAGAGAGTCAAGCAGCCAATAAACATGTAGGAGTGCAGGTTCCTGAATACGCGAAAGCTCTACGCAGCAGTAAACGTGTGGTAAGACTACGAGCATGCAGCGAGGTCAGCAAGACTACTCCAACCGATGCAAGCGGTTAGCTGGTGGCCACGCCGCCAGGAGCGTTCAAATGATATCTCCAACCATTGATCAGAACGAAAGCCTTTTCTTCGAACGGGAGAGATGCGGAATCTACAGTATATTAGTATTTCTTTTGTCCGACATGTCGCTTGCGATACATTTTTCGCCAGTGTTATCCGCTCGCGTTACTTATCCCAATAGATCATTCGAAGTAATACTATAGTCCCTTCCGTACTTATATCTTATATCTATATATTTTTTCCATTTTATTTAGTACAAATGTGTTTCGCGCTTTTCACCCGTACTGATAGTAGAAGGCACTGGGCAGAGATGTGACGGACAACAACAGCGGCCTACCACGTAATAACATTGTCCGGACTGACGTCTGGCCATTATAGACTGATAATTAACGGTGGGAATAATCTCCAACCCAGGTATGTATCGTCACCAACAAAAAATACTAAAACGGAGCAGGTGATCGAGATCGCAGAGGGAGGAAAGAATGCCGTCTTCATCGCCAAGGAAATGATGCACACCAAGAATGTCAAGTTCGAGGTCCGGAAGGGAACACGCATGCACTTCCGCGCCCCGGGGTGCACTTTTGAGCGGGACCAGGTAGCCTTTGAATGTTTTGCTTGCGTCTGGTGTCCTCTTCTCCTTGAAAGCTGGGTTACGGCATCTAGAGATCAGATATCGAGCCTCAGCCCCTGTCGTGGCTTTTATCTTTAGTGCTTGATTTTCCCCTTCCGGTTTTTCACCAATGTTGTTGATATCCAGCTGGGACAATTTCCCCCGGATGTTTTGCGGATGAAAACACCTGGTCAAATTGCCAATGACCCCAGCGCTGGTACTTTGTTATCCACTTTCGTCGGAGGTAGATGTGCTGCTTCTCGTCACTAGCGAAGTCCATCCATTCGGAGAGGTCGTTCTTGCGTGCGTGCGAAGCCTTACTCCCCCTCCCGCATCCCTGCCTCCCTTGCCCATTCCATTTTCTCCACGCCCCTATACTTTGTCTTTGTCCAACATCCCCTCACGACGGCTGTGTGTTCTTCCTTAGGGAGACAAGACCCACATATTTGATGTCAACGGCAACCTGAGCTTCAACGCCCACCTGCACAACTCCCGCGACCTGGGAAACACGAGACCGGTGGGCTCCTATTGGCTGCGTTGCTTTTGTTGTTGTCGCTGTTGGTGGTGGTGGTAGTGCTGTTCTGTTGATACATTGATATTACCTCGTGGTCAGGACGTACTTGGCTAGCCATTTTTCTACACGTAAGGTCGTGCGTGTGCCAGAAGTGTTTCTTTCAACTGTACGATACATGCCGATCTTTGGATCCCACACACTCAATCAAGCGCTACTGACACTCTATTGGGTCGAACTGATTGCCCTTAAACAGCTCCAACACCAATCCAATCAGTTTCGACGCACACCTTGACACGCGACTCCCCGGACTCTCGGGTTATTCATGAGTAGCTCACATCACCTTTATGTTCGGCAAGCTAACACTCTACATAAATAACCAAACGACGAAACCTTCCAAGGACGCCGTGTTTATCGCAAAATGGCCTTGCCTACATCTCGTCTGTCTCACCGCCTCTGCCCCTTTCCCCCCTGGCCCGTCCGCCGTCGGCCACGTTTCAACGTACACAATAGGACGATCCGCACTGGATGCTCCGCACCTCCCCCGATGCAAATGTCACAACACTTGACGGCTCGTCTCTCCACTTCAGCGAGACCTCCGTCATCGTTGTTGCCGGACCCCCCGACGCCGACGCCAGCGGGAATGACAACGTCGACCACCACTCATCCGCCAGCCCGCCATTCGTCGACGAGGTTGGTTCCGAGCTGCAGCAGAAGGAGCCCCGCTCTTCCACCGAGCAATCTTCAAACAACGGGGCCCGGGACAACGCCGACTCCGGTGGCCACTCGGATTCTGGCACCAAAGACAACACAAACCTATCGTCTGAGCAGCACCGGTATCAGCACCACCACCAGCCCCAGCACCAGCCCCAGCACAAGCAGCACCAGCAGCGCCAGCACCAGCAGCACCAGCAGCACCAACAACACCAAGACGACGACCCGCCTAGCGTACCCACCACATCTTCCTCTTCTACCGTGGGGCTAGACGACTCCAACCCCAACCCGTCGCAGCAGCAGCAGCAGCAGCAGCAGCCCCACATAAACAACCATATCGACACCCTAAACAGCTCTCCCCAACCCTCCGACATGCCTTCGCCCTCTACCACAGGGGGTGACACCATGGCTGCCACAAACCAGGGCCTTCTGCCCATTGACGATATCCAAAACACCCGTGCCTCGGCTTTGTACACGTGCGACCAGCTGCAAGCAAGCCGGACTCCCGTGTACGGCATCGTCGTTGTCCGAGATCACGTGATCTGTGAGGAGACGAGAGTGAGTACCCCGGTAGTGTTGGGTTTTGTTTTCAAAGAAGCTCATGCTACGTCTCTCTCTCTCTCTCTCTCTCTCTCTCTCTCTCTCTCGCTCTTGCTCACTTTTTCTGGCTCTCTTTTCGTTGTTTCATGTCTCTCTTGCGTGTTGGTGGCAGCACCTTTCCACGGCCCATGTGTTCAACACACGCGTTCATGGACACGTAGAGCAGTACTTAACGGGGGTGTTGGGTAGCGAAGGGGTGATTCGGCCGATGCACTCTTGGTTATATCCACCGCCAAAGAAATCGAATAAATTACTGAAGAAATTTGGACATCATGTCAGGATTGGACAACACTGCTAGAATGCCCCTGGGTTAGTCGTGTTTGCTTAAATTTGGAAGTCAACTAAACTCGAAACGGAAAAACAACATCACCACGACCTCTTCCACCACCAACAAATCAGCAACAACACCACCACCAACAACGACAACAACGACAACACCATCAACGCACGGGACCTACCCAAACATTCGCCCCTCTCTCGATCCATATCGTATTTGACGCTATGCCCCCCTGCCCGTTCCGTCCATTTGCTCCCCACTCCATACACACAAACGCAGACAATCGAGGTCAACCAGAGAGCGTTCTTCATTTCCAAGATTCCTGACCTTCGCTTCGAGGACCTCCACTTCCGAGTGCGGGAGGGCGCATCCTTGAGGTTCGGCATACCCACGATGCGCCTGGAAACTCTCGAGGTAACGTGTGCATGCCTGTGTTTGATATTATTGCCCCTCGACCATACGTTATCCAACACTGCCTGCACGTGTGAGAGGCACATAAACCAGAGGACGGGATATCGGGGGAGGCGGCAAGGGGGGAGGTCTGTGCCTTGTTTTTAATATCCCAGGGCGCAGGACACATGGCACGCACACCGCCACGAAGTTGTGGGTGGAACGCCCGGCTAGGTGCCCGTTTCTCTGGCCTTTCCCTACCCACGCAGGTGTGAAGGCATACCGTAATACCCTCTGAATTGTCCCCCCCCCACGAATTGTCCCCCCCCCCCCCCAATTTAGAG